AAATTAATGTTTACCAATTATTTTTAAAACTCTAATCTTCCCAAGCTTAGCTATGTACAGCATGAAGGAAACTCCCCCCTCAGACTAGTGGGACAGTAGTGTTTTAACACTTTCCAATAGATAATCTGGTACATGCCATTGATTATATGAAACTTTTGTGATAAAATCAGGGTATATGGTTGCTCCATGTGCATTTTGGGAATGTTTGGAGACTCACTTAAGGGATAATATTGTTCTGGTTTTTCAAAATGGCAGAGGTCCATTGGAGGTACTGTGTCCCAAACATGAGCCCAGAAATGAAAATGAGATAGCAATAGTATGCAGTTAGTGTTAAGGTACAGATCAAGTTTACTATTGTGCACAATTCAAATCACTCCTAAATCTGAGTTTAGTTCTTCACATCAGAAATTGGTTGGTTAGGAGAGTTTGGTCCTTTTCTTTCCATTGAGCTGAATTCCATGTTGATTTCTATCAGTTTGGGCCTTGGGAGATCAATATACAGGCAGTCCCCGGGTTACATACAAGATAGGGACTGTAGGTTTGTTCTTAAGTCGAATCTGTATGTAAGTCGGAACTGGCATCAGCCGCTGCTGAAACTGATCAGTTTCAACAGCCGCTGAATCTGGACACCAGTTCCACTTACATACAGCTTCAAGGTAAGAACACACACTTTGCCCCTGCACACATCCCGCCCCATGTCCACACCTTCTGCCCCACCCACAGTGCCATATTCCATCTCCCCCACACCTTGTTGTGCCATCGGAACCTACTCACACATGCTGTCCCTGTGCACACTACCTCATGTATCCTGCCCATATGCCACTTCCACACACCCTGCCACTACATGCAGCTCCTCCAGCACACTCACTCCATGCCCTTAGGCACAGCCCCACTAGCACACACACCTCCCCACATACCCTGCCTCCACCCACTTCACCATCTTCACATACCCACTCCTGAGTGACACACAGTGCCATCAGCATCTGCACACACACAAGCACATATACACACCGCTCACAGGCACAGCACTGTGATACACACCCTGCCCATACACACACACCACATCACCTCCACACAGCACACCAGCACCTCGCATGGAGCCCAAACACATCCTGATTGGTAGAGAGTCATGGGAGGAGTTCGTACTGGGGTCTCATGACAATCTTTACTTCCAGTCATGTGCCCATCTTGAGCCTGGAAGTGCTCAAGAGATGGGACTTCTTGTGGCAGGGGGGCAGTGACTAAAGAGTCAAGGGGCATGGCTAAGGAGGTCAGGGGCATGACTAACGTTTGTTTGATGGTAAGGCCCTTATATCATGTGTCCCCATCAGCTTCCAGATCAGCGCCCCGGTCCGGCCCGGGTCCTCCGCAGCTTTGCTCAGCATCTCCCTGGTCTGCAGACCAGGGAGATGCTGAACAAAGCGGCAGAGCACCCGGCAGGACCTGCGCCGCTTCCAGCTGATCTGGAAGCGGCCGCGGGTCCGGCCCCCGGTGCTCCGCCGCTTTGCTCCCGTCTCCCTGGTCTGTTGGCTCCCCCAGCAGACCAGGGAGAAGGGGAGCAGCTTTTCTCACCCCGGAGAAGGCGGGCGGCGGGACCAGGCGTCCTGCTGCTCTAGTTCTCCGGGGCAAGAAATCCCCGTTCGTAACTGCGGATCCGACATAAGTCGGATCCGCGTAACTCGGGGACTGCCTGTATGCAGTAGGGATGTCAGTAATAAACCAATCAACAGGTAGGCACCGCTCTTACTGGTTAATTGGTTAACCACTGACTTACCAGTTACCCATCGCTTATCATGTGATACTTAGCAGTTACTGGTTAACCAATGGCCTGGCTGGGCTGGAACAGCTTCCCACCCATGGGATCCTGTTTAAGCAGTTAACCAGTTAAACATAATGTTTTGACAGTTAACTGAATAAATGGGATTTTAAATCCCTGATGTGCAGCATCACAGAAGTGGTATGAAAAGTGTTTTACTTCTAAATAATTTCTGAAATACAACACCATTACTTTTTTCAATAAAAGTTGTGGGTCAATCAGCAAGCTAGAGACTGTGTGGAGCAAACCTAGCCAGATAATTTAAAACAAACAATTGTTTGGAAGATGTCAGCTCTTGTATCATGTTTGAATTATTCATGAACAAGAACTACAAATTTCTTAAATTTATTCACTATTCAAGTTGTTTTCAACAAATAAGTTCTAACTCATTAGATCTTTCATTAACAGTTCACTGGTCAAAAATTGTGCTGTTATTGAATAGCTATATAAGCTATATTCAGTAAAACTCCAATAGTCCGGCATCCAATTGTACAGCACTCCCGATAGTCTGACATCAAAATGAAAAGAGCCTAGTGAGCGAGCTTCGGCAAAAAACAAGTCACAGGGCAGCAGTGGCAGCAGCTGAACCGAGTGAAAAGGGTAAAAAAGGGTTAAAAAACCTAAAACATTACTGTATACTGTATACAATATGTACAATAAAAAGGGTTAAAACACTTTATATACAGGGCTCAACAAATTATGGAAAACCCTACTGGCCAGACGCATATACAAAGCCCAGGTTCTTCTTAGGAAAGAAAAGAAACAAGAGCTTTTCCTGTGAAATAGCTTAGGCTCTGGGGAGGAACAGTGCATGGTGGGGGGGAGGGGGAATCTCTGAATAATCTGTGGTTCCCCTGGCTGCATGTGCAGTGGAGAAGGGGTAGAGGGCTCAGGGCTTCTCTGACCGTGCTGTGGAGGGAGTCCTAGGTCTTCAGCTGGCCCAGGACTCCTATGACTTTGTTGGAGGAATGGGGCTCAGGGCTCTAGATGGTCCAAGGTTCATCCAGGAGGGGTGAATCAGGACTCATCTGGGCAGGAGGCGGGGACTCCTGGCCCTGGCTATAATGGGTGTGCAGGGACATTTTGGGGCATTGGTAGAAGGGGTGGCATTGAGAAATAGCATCCCCAAAGGGGATCACCACATGCTGCCCATGTGTGCACTCAGTATTGCTAAGTCCCTATACAACAATCTATGTACAATATCTACAGTGCTTTTGGCTTTCTCAGGATCTGAGAGGAACAGAAGTTTTCCTTCTCTAAGCTCTTTGGACTGGGTTTAACTAGCCCTGTTCCTTTCTTCTATCCCCTTTCTGTCTCTGTCTCTGTCTCTCTCTCTCTCTCTCTCTCCCTGGCACTTGCTTCCTGTGCCACTTTATCACACTTGAATATTTATCCCACATAGCCTGCCAGTCTGATTACATAATTACCCCAGGGTATGTCTACACTACCCTCCTAGTTCGAACTAGGAGGGTAGTGTAGACATACCCTGGGGTAATTATGTAATCAGACTGGCAGGCTATGTGGGATAAATATTCAAGTGTGATAAAGTGGCACAGGAAGCAAGTGCCAGGGAGAGAGAGAGAGAGAGAGAGACAGAGACAGAGACAGAAAGGGGATAGAAGAAAGGAACAGGGCTAGTTAAACCCAGTCCAAAGAGCTTAGAGAAGGAAAACTTCTGTTCCTCTCAGATCCTGAGAAAGCCAAAAGCACTGTAGATATTGTACATAGATTGTTGTATAGGGACTTAGCAATACTGAGTGCACACATGGGCAGCATGTGGTGATCCCCTTTGGGGATGCTATTTCTCAATGCCACCCCTTCTACCAATGCCCCAAAATGTCCCTGCACACCCATTATAGCCAGGGCCAGGAGTCCCCGCCTCCTGCCCAGATGAGTCCTGATTCACCCCTCCTGGATGAACCTTGGACCATCTAGAGCCCTGAGCCCCATTCCTCCAACAAAGTCATAGGAGTCCTGGGCCAGCTGAAGACCTAGGACTCCCTCCACAGCACGGTCAGAGAAGCCCTGAGCCCTCTACCCCTTCTCCACTGCACATGCAGCCAGGGGAACCACAGATTATTCAGAGATTCCCCCTCCCCCCCACCATGCACTGTTCCTCCCCAGAGCCTAAGCTATTTCACAGGAAAAGCTCTTGTTTCTTTTCTTTCCTAAGAAGAACCTGGGCTTTGTATATGCACCATGCAGGTTTCAGAGTGGCTGAGGCAGCGGTATATATTACTCAGCTTCCCAGACTTCTGTGGAGTCCAATGAGATTACTGATGAATCCAGGAAGCTGAGCAATACATATCACCTCCTTAGCCACTCCAGAACCTGCATGGAGCCTAATAAGCGAAAACTTTCCCTGCCAAGCCCACAGCTGGCATCTACAGCAGACTCTCAGCTATTAAACCCACCACCCATGAGCACACATTTCATGTGGACTGTGTAGTTTCTGTAGGGAAGAAGACAGGAATAGAACTGTGCTCTGTTACAGCATGGAAAATATTAGCAGCGTTTCCCAGCTTCATTGTGTTGTCTTTATTCAACAACCTTGCTGGCAGAGTGCCAAATTAAAATCCATATAAATGTCCCATTGGCAAATGCTTTCTATATTAGATGTAGTAAATACAAGTGTGAGGGATTACTGAAGGAAAATAGCACTTTTCACGACAACATACAGAGTTTTAATTTCTATCCATAAAAACTACCAGCAGATACCTTATACCAAATAAATGAACAACATACTTCTGTTTGCCATAAACACTTCCAAAGCAGTGTTCTGGAGAAGATAACGTCTTGAAAAAACAGCTCGAATCTCGCTGAACATCCATTTTCCATGAAGGCCTTCTGTGTAGGCAAGAACCTAAAATAAATAAGGAAAAACAGACACCTGTTAGAAGATGTTTTGACAGTACCGCAAGTTTTACACTTCAGCAAAGTCAGGATAAACATATCTTGTTGAACTTTATGGCACTCAAAAACATTAAGTTCAAAAGTGGACTGAAATGTTTAAAAAAGAAAATAAAGCCTGGTTGTAGTCTAAGATGTGGTTGTAAACATGGCACCTTCATAATGTGTATATATGTTTCTTGTGTGTCATATTTTATTTTACTTAGGCAAAAAACGTCCTGTATGTAAGGGGATGAATAAAGTTCACTTGCAGATAAACAAGGTGTAGTCTATTTCTCCGCATGTATAAAACAGAATTGTCTGTTAAGCTCTGAATCCACAGTTTTTATTGTTGATGATGTGTTGTATAAAGGAAAGAAATAATAAATGGATTTCAGAAGGAATAACAATTGTAAATTAACTACTGAAAGAGTCTCAGATATTAGCTGTTTCTTAGAAGAAAGCTGGAGAGGAAAAACAGTGATCCATGATGTTCTTTTATGGACTATGTGGGATTTATTTGGAGACCAGACCAACTAGTGATCTTTTAGTCTTCAGCTGATGGTATGTTTATTTTAACTCAGTTGTTGATTTGAGGGTTTTCCTGGATGGATGCCAGAGGCTCATTGGCCCTTCCAACTAGTAACTTGTTGGAGTCGGAGTCAGATTGTAAAGCCATTATATCCCATGGTAAACTTCCAATTGTTAATTATGCTCACTGTTAAAAATCTGCATTTATTTATACTTTGAACTTAAATTACTTCAACTTAGAGCTACTGGCTCTTCTAAATAGATTAAAGAGCACTCTAATGTCATATCTCCTTCCTGCATAGGTAGTTATAGACTGATCAAGTTGCCTCTTCACTGTATCTTTGACAAGCTATGCTGTGCTCTCCTATTGTCTCTCATTGAGATCAGATGCTAAAGTGGACTTGACATTATGCATGTGGAAGCTGAGGTCACCGCAAAGATTCCAGCACCACACTCATTTTCATTTACTGTACTTGCATCTACCATATTACAATGTACAATTTGCGTTAAAAATGTGAGTACTCAATCACAGAATCATAGAACCATAGAGCTGGAAGAGACCTCAGGAGGTCATCAAGTCCAGCCCCCTGCTCTAGGCAGGACCAATCCCAACTAAGACTCTGGGAAGAGATAAGGAGGTAAACTCTGAGTTTAAAAAGCTAAAAATAGTTAATGGACAATTGCTAATATAACTTAAAAAATCAGGAGTGTAAAATGTGTTCAGTTGTAATGATGGTCTTGTATATGCCACAGTTAGAGGCTTTGCCACAAAACTCATCTCTTGACACAGAATTGAGTGCCAGGACTTCAGCTTTCATTAAAAATATAAATTATATCTCTAGCCCTCAGATGTGATTTGGGGAGGCGGGAGGGAGGAAAATTTTATTCACTGGTATTACGAGTCATTTATAATTTTTTTTTCAGTTACAATGTCTGGCCACACATAAGTATTTAAAATTAACAGTGTTTAGCTGCATATTGTTTATTGACCTTACCTCTTTTTTTAAAAATTATTCAGACAACCACACATCTTGATATATGTATATTTAACCTTTCCTATTAATTTTTTTATTGGAAAACTGAATGTTCTCTTGAGGCAGAAGTGTTGAGTGTCAAGAGACAGAAAGCATGGGAAATTAGAGGAAAGCAGGATGTAATTCAATTATTGTCCTCTGTTTCCTTCCTGTATATTTTTAAACATAAGATTATTGTGTCCATATCAAAGCATCTGAATTATTTCAGTATTTTTGTCTTGTTTTCTTGTGCAAGATATATTGTTACTTTTATCCTTTTTTAATGAGTTTGTCTGGCACCAGTCTCTAAACTCCTTTATTAGCTGTTTTATTAATAGTTTTCCCCCAGTAAACTATAGTAGGAGCTATTGTTGAGGAGGGTCTTTTATTTATTTATTTACTTGTTTCACACAAAAAAAGCAAGAATAAAAATAATTTCCTACTTCCTGGTTTGAATCTTTTTAATAGACCAAATCCCACTAAACAAATCATTAGCTATGTTTTAAGTCCTGGCTCTAGAATAGCAATGGGCAAAGTAGGCCACTGAATGGGCTGCATGAGTGGCCCTTCCTCATTTCAATGGACCACAAGGCTGTTGTAACTAAAACTAGTCTCTTGGGATAGGGTAGTTCTGTGCTGACACACGTAGAATTTGAGGAGTGTGCTGACTAAACTGTGGCAGTGCTTTGATTGGATGAAGAGGGAGCACATGGCTCTTACAGTCAATGCTCTGTGTAACTTCACATGCACTTGCTTTATGTACATGTCACTTTATTAATATCAGTAGGAAAAAAACGACGCAGATGGCAACCAGTGGAATCTGGCAACCTAGCACGTGGGCAATCATAGAATACTAGGACTGGAAGGGACATCGAGAGGTCATCAAGTCCAGACCCCTGCCCTCATGGCAGGACCAAATACTGTCTAGACCATCCCTGATAGACATTTATCTAACCTACTCTTAAATATCTCCAGAGATGGGGATTCCACAACCTCCCTGGACAATTTATTCCAGTGTTTGACTACCCTGACAGTTAGGAACTTTTTCCTAATATCCAACCTAAATCTCCCTTGCTGCAGTTTAAGCCCATTGCTTCTTGTTCTATCCCCAGAGGGCCAAGATGAACAAGTTTTCTCCCTCCTCCTTATGACACCCTTTTAGATACCTGAAAACTGCTATCATGTCCCCTCTCAACCTTCTCTTTTCTAAACTAAACAAACCAAATACTTTCAGCCTTCCCTCATAGGTCATGTTCTCTAGACCTTTAATCATTGTTGTTGTTCTTCTCTGGACCTTCTCCCATTTCTCCAAATCTTTCTTGAAATGCGGTGCCCAGAACTCGACACAATACTCCAACTGAGGCCTAACCAGCGCAGAGTAGAGCGGAAGAATGACTTCTTGTGTCTTGCTCACAACACACCTGTTAATGCATCCCAGAATCATGTTTGCTTTTTTTGCAACAGCATCACACTGCTGACTCATATTCAGCTTGTGGTCCACTATAACCGCTAGATCCCTTTCTGCCATACTCCTTCCTAGACACTCACTTTTCATTCTGTATGTATGAAACTGATTGTTCCTTCCTAAGTGGAGCAGTTTGCATTTGTCTTTATTAAACTTCATCCTGTTTACCTCAGACCATTTCTCCAATTTGTCCAGATCATTTTGAATTATGACTGTATCCTCCAGAGCAGTCACAACCCCTCCCAGCTTGGTATCATCAGCAAACTTAATAAGCATACTTTCTATGCCAATATCTAAATCGTTGATGAAGATATTGAAGAGAGCCGGTCCCAAAACAGACCCCTGCAGAACCCCACTTGTTATACCTTTCCAGCAGGATTGTGAAGCATTAATAACTACTCTCTGAGTACGGTTATCCAGCCAGTTATGCACCCACCTTATAGTAGCCCCATCAAAGTTGTATTTGCCTAGTTTATTGATAAGGATATCATGCGAGACCATATCAAACGCCTTACTAAAGTCTAGGTGTACCACATCCACCGCTTCTCCCTTATCCAGAAGACTCATTATCCTATCAAATAATGGTAAAGAAAATGTCTTGCAGACTACACACAGAACCTCACTGGGCTATATGCAGCTAGAATTTTATTTATTTATTTCAGGATGGATTTCCAAAGTATTTTTACCATCTAGCATTCCCATATCATGGCTGTTTTGCATTTCATAGAAACAACAGTGGTAATATGGTATATTTTAATTATAGACGTGGAAAAGCATAGATTTTGTGAATCAGACAGTACTGAACTTATACTTTTTGACTAGTGCTGGGTCCATGACTTGCTGTCCTCATTGTATCATTATAATCTTCTTTTTGTTATTTTGTGGATGCTCTCTATAACTTAACAGATTCAAGCAGTCTCCTAAAACACAGTAATAAAATTAGAGAGACAATGTTGGTGAGATAAAGACAAGTTACTCACTTTATGCAGTAATGCATGTTCATCGAGATGTGTCCCCCCCCTGTGGGTGCTCCACTGTTGGTGTTGGGGCTCATCCTGGCACCATAAATCTGAGAATTTCAAGCAGTCAGCAGGCAGGCTGCTCATGCATGAGCAGAGAACGGCATTTGAAGAAGCGCGCACAGCCCAGTTTTCCCTCTGTTTCTTTGATGCCCTCGTGGGCTATTATTGCCTGAAGGAGCGGAGAGGAGGGCAGGTCGTGGAGCACCCACAGGGACACACATCTCAAAGAACAATCTGCATGAAGTGAGTATCTTTTGTTTATCTCACCAAGATTGTCTCTCTAATTTTATTACTGTTACCATTTGTATAGGTAAGTTGCATGTCGTCTGCCGCCTGCTGTGCAGCAGTATATTTCTCACTTGCTGGAAACACTGCTGCTCCACTTCGAAGAACCAGATAGGTACCTTTCCATCAAGTGTAGTGTTCGCGGTTGGGGATGAAGTATTGAGCCCTTGTTCTAGAAGAAAAGTTCTAGGAGGTTCGGAAGTGGGTAGGGAGGTCGTAGAGACAGTTGATAAAGACATAGAAACCATTTCTGTCAAGGCCATTCTGGGACTATTAGAATCACTTGGGCCCGACTTCCTGTATCTTTCGGAGGACTCTGGGAATGAGGGGGATAGGAGGAAAGGTATATAGTAAATAGGTCCCCCAAGAAAAGAGCATTGCATCTCCCAGAGAGCTGTATCCTATACCCACTCTTGAACAGTACTGGGGGCATTTGGAGTTCTGTCTGGTCGCGACGAGGTCTATCTGCGGTACACCCAAATGTTAGAAGAGCTTGTGGGTGATGTGATCATGCAGCTCCCACTCATGCTCTTTGAGGAAGTTGCGGCTGAGGGTGTCTGCCATAATATTCTTGTCCCCAGGTCAGTATGCTGCTGTGATGATTATGTTATGGTGGATATACCAATTCCACAGCTTGATTGCCTCTGCACATAATGAC